TTCCTGATCGGCCCCGGTCCGGCCATCGACCCGCCACATACGACCCGTCCTTGTACAGTCATCTTCCACTGCACGAACAGCCGCTACCGCCGGATCCGGAGGACGCCTGGGTTGAGGATCTGTCGCACACACTTCCTCTGGGGAGTGGATCTACGCAGGAGTGGACGAGCAGGCAGTGCCAACAGAGGGAAGCAGGGACCACGCGCGAGTCGTTCACCGCATTGCTGGAGGAGGGTGTCGACAACGCCGCCACAGAGCTTGTGGACTTGGATTTCGAATTGTGCAGCGGGAGTGGTGCAAGTGGTCCGATCCACAGCGGAGGGGTGGTGGGATCGCCAATGTTGGGAGGAGGATCGTCGCGTGTCGGTGGACCGACGAATGGGTGTCATCCACCGGTCCCGAGTTCCATGGACGCCGGGCCACTTGGCGAGTCGTCAAGGGCAGTGACACCCATCCGCCCGTCGGTGTCTTCGCCTACAATGCGGCAGAGGGCGACCGCAAGTGCTGCAATCAATGATGGGACTCCACCGGAAGACATCGGGAGGCAGGCGTGGGAGAACTGCCGCCTACAGATGCGGCGTGCTGCCACGGAGAACATAACCACCGGTGTGTCCAGGCTTCGTGTGGGGAGCGACGTGGATGCGGACGACAGCCGTCGGGCGAGTGGGGACGAGTCTCCGGATTCCCGTTATGAAGAGGATGCGGAAGACGGTGAGGGGCTGGAGATCCGACCCGTGGCTGCGCGTGGTGGACGGAGGGGAGGACGCGGACGTCAGCAGAGGGGCGAGTCGCGTGGTGGCCGAGGATCGAGGACTCCTGTGGGCGACAAGGGTGGCAAGCACCCAGCTTGGAGTGTGGAGGAGATGCTGAAGCTCGCTCGAGCGAAGCGGGATCAGCAAGCTCATTTCGAGGGAATGCCACACAACTACGGCCGCATGCGCAACAGGGAGTGGAAGCTGCTGGACCTACAGAAGCGGCTGGCGGAGGTCGGAGTGGACAGGACAACGGACGACATAGGGAAGAAGTGGGACAACGTCTTCCAGCAGTACAAGAAGGTGCAGCGTTACCAGAACATGTCCGGCGGGAAGAACTTCTTCACATTAACTCCTGCAACAAGAGCGGACGAGGGTTTCAACTTTCGAATGGATGAGCGAGTCTTCAATGAGATCGACAACATGTCGAAAAATAACAAGACCATCTACCCGGACAACGTGGCAGACACGAGCGCACACGGAGGAGTGCGGGCAGCAATGGATGGTCACCGCCAGGCGGCCGTTGGTGGAGAGTCCTCTGCTGGTGGAGAGGGGGGTGATGGCGTTGACGAAGATGCGGGTTCAGCGCGGGAGACGGGGTTCAGTGCAGGGAGCACAGACACTTTAGCGAAGAGGAAGAACATGCGGCAGCAGACCTTCGACGCCATCACCGAAGTCATGGACAAACACGGTTCATTGATGGCGGACACGGTAGAGGGTGCGAGCAAACGGCAGTGTAGCATCCTGGAGCGACAGTGTGACATCCTCGATCGGGAGGTTGAAGCCCAGAAGCGGCAGTGTGACATACTGGAGAGGCATTACACGGCGTCCGATGAGGCGAACAAGATGATGTGCACGGCGTTGATGGAGATTGCCAGAGCAATAAGGGATAGATCTTGACGCCGGTGGCGTGAGGTTTGTCAAGCCGTTGAAGTGGAATCGCCTGCCATCTGGCCCGTCACGAAATGTGGTGCCGGTCCTCCGAACGTCGACACAAATCTAGGAAACAAGGCGGGGGATGGTGTGCGCGATGGCCGTGTACGCTCGCGCGGTTCGAAATGTTGAGTCGCTGGCTCTCCGGGGCAGGGCCGTCCATTCCCCGGGCCGCATTGTCCCTGGGTATTTGGGGTGGTCTCCCCCCATGCGGAATGGGTGATCGTCGCTGTCGTCGGGTGGAGGGGTGTGATGGAGGCCGTCTAGGCGGGATCTGCGCGCCGAGGGAGGGGAAATGTCACCACGAGCACTATAAAGGTCCACGCGAGCGCGATCTTCTCCCAGTCTTTTGCTTCTCGACTGCGCGCAAGGCCACACGTGGGGTTCCCGTTGTGCTGCGCGGGGAGCTGAACATCGCCCGCACTAGACGATCCCTGGCGACTTCCTCTCGTGCGCTGCGGTAGTCCGTTTTCGTTCACTGGGCGTGCGCATCCGACCGTCAGCGAATGGCGCCACGCGGCCAGCAGAAGGCGAAACGTCCACACGGTGGTTCCGGCGAAGCTAGTGCAGGGCAAACAGGAAGGGGCCACATCCCAAAGTCGAAGAAGCTCCGCGCGGGAGACGGGTCGGAAGGAGAGATGGGGGGTGACRGGGGAGAGGAGGAGACGCCTATGGACATCACTTCTAAGGGGACGCCTGTGCTCGGGTTCGGGTGTGACGGTATGAGCAGGCAGCGTCTGCTTGCGCTCACCAACCTTGGCATCCCGACGTCCACGCGCGGCGGCGGTGGCGGGACGGCTCGTGCGCAAGGAGTTTCGTCCGGTGACATTCCGCCGCAGAGGGTCGTGGGTTCTGCATCCACCATCGCATCAGTGTCCGAGCGCGGAGAAAAAGCTCCGGTAGGTGAGTCTCCATCGCGCCACGTGGAGGCGTCGAACCCTACGATCGTCGCCGCTTCGCCGAGGGATGTGCTTCAATCCGCGCAAGCAGCGAGCGCCGCTGGTCATGCCGCCCCCGTCGGTGTTGGAGAAAGGCGAGAAGATAGGGCAGTGGAAGAGGCGGGGAGAAAATAGGAGAGGAGGGAGGAGACTCCGCGCGGGGAAGAAGAGGACGACCAGCCTCTGAGCGCGAGGAAGAAAAGGTCCCGCCAAGAGGAGGAGTAGGAGGCGAAATCCAAGCTGTTGGTAGACGGCAAAGCGTTCTGGGCAACCGGCCCCGGATGGATGATCGCGGACGCGGTGCATTCCTGCGCGGACTACTTCTGCGCGATCGTCAATGGAGATGCAGGCACCAGCGCTCCGCAAGGCCTCATCATGCCCCCCCCTGAAGTCCCGCGCGTGCGGATCGAAGATGGCGCGCAACGAGAGCCAGCTCTCAGACGGGCGAGACGAACGGAGAACGTGGCAATGCGCGTCATCCACGGGTGGATATTCAGGTCGTCTTCAAGGTTCGATGGTTTCGCCCGCGCGGAGTCCTACGTCGCCACAGATTMCCCCACCGACCTGGCGAGAGCAGTTTGGCAGAGCTTCGAGTGGTCGAGGATAGTGCCTCCCGCCGTAGTCTACCACACAGTAGCTTTGAAGATGGACATCCCACTGTGGTTCGTCGGGGCATATATCGAGAATAGGTCGGAGGACGATGACATGGCCGCGCACCAGGAGGCGACTGTGATGCATATTGCGTCATGCTTCCACGACGCGCTCCGGGAAGTGGTGGGACAGCGGTAGATTGTCACACCAGAGACTGAGCAGAATCGGGGATGCTTTCCGCCTGCTTCTCGCCGCGTGCATGTGGATCATGCGCATGGGAGGCGACGATGSTCGCTCCTACGACGAGGCGTCTTACTACGCGCAGCTGGTGGCGAAGCCGACTCTTATGGCGGCGTGTTCATCGTCCTTCAACTGGCGCCGCCATGTGATGCACTCGGCGAACGTGGTCTTGACTCGCCTGCGGAAGCCACCCTTGACGCTGGGCGCTTTCCCTGACTACATCCCGGAGTGGCTTCGTGCGGAGTGCGGTACAACTGCAACGCTGGTCTGGCGGACCCCGACGTCGCGGCGAGAGTGGACTGGATGGGGACGGGACCTTTTGAAGCTGATCGGAAGGAAGACGGGATAGATGACGAAACGAGAGCGTAAGTGTCCTCGATATGGCCGTCTTGCGTGACAAGGAAGAAGGTATCGCCCATGTAGTGAAGCGGTCCGTCATCAAGGTTTCGACATGGCGGGAAATGGAAGTGCCGGATCGGCGGGGGGTGG